AAGTTACTCTTAAAAAAAACCCTAAAAACATGCAAGGGTCGATCTCAAAGTAAGTACTTACAATTTTGTTGGTAAATAGGCTGCAGAGTCATCTTTACTTCTGATAATGTCATTACATTTTTCAAGTGTTTGAAAAACAGTGAAAGTGTCCCCAATGCTATAGAGGGCTGCGAGATTTTTAGCTAACAATTTTCGTGTAGGTGGTCCAGGTGAACTACTTATTAATCCGGTTAATTGTTCAACAAGTTTTTTCTGTTTTTCCTTAACATCAGTCTGTTATAAAAAAAAATAAAGAACATCAACAGTTTTTTAAATATGTACTTTTATTGCCTTTGAGTAAAAATAAAAAATACTTAACAGTTAAGGCATTCTAATAATTAGGATATATATTACATTAGGCATAAAACAATAAATGAGAATTTTCAAGATGAGTTCAGTAGGAAATTAATCATTCTTTACTAAATAGCTTCCTTTGTTCCCCTCCAAAAGTTTCCATGCCAACTTACTAAGAAATAAACCAATAGTCCCAGGATGTATAACATTGGGCATATGGACAACTGATGTCTTTAGAACCCAGATAACTCCTTTTTAAAAGCAAACTCAGTAGTCCAAAAAGTTATAGGTCAGTGAAGGAAATCAAAAGAAATTCTGAAGGAGCCTTAAGCAACAGGAAAAACACTCAGATCTACCCATACTCAATACTAAAAATTCATTCATTCATTCATTCATTCATTCAAGAAATATGTATTGTGCACTTATTATATGCCATGCACTATTTTAAGGCATGACTATTCAAGGCAACAGTGAAATCTAGAATTTACATTCTAGAGGGGAGACACAGAATTCACCAAATAAACAACTGAATAGTGTGAGTTATTACTATTTTACATAGATTAGTGAGGAAAGGCCTCCCTGAAAAGAAGTGAAGGTGTAAGATATGCAGATATCTGGGAAAGTAACATTCCAGGCAGAGAAAACTGTGTAAAGGCCTGGAGGAGGGTGTATGCTTAGCATGCTTGAGGACAGTGAGAAGGCCAGTATGACTGGAGCAGAGTAAGAGACAGGAAGTAGTAGGAGATGAAATCAGAAAGATAGAAGGGATCATGCTGTGTCGTGCCTTATACATCACTGTAAGAACTTTGTGTTTTATTCTGAGAGCGCGAAGCAGAGGAGGGACATGATCGAAATGTTTTAACAGGTTCATTCTGACGGCTGAGCTAAGAATACAAGGTACATGTTGGAAGCAGTGAGCATTTATAAAGCTCTTTGCAATAATCCAGATGAGAGATGGGGCTGATAACAATTGAGAAGATGAAAAGCAATTTAATTCTGGATATATTTAGTGGATAGATCCAATTGGAGTTGCTGATGATTATGATGTGAAATTTGAAAAAAAAAAAAAAAGTAAAAAATGCCTCTAAGGTTTATACCTGACCAATTGGAAGGATGAAATATTCATTTCCTGAGATGAAGAGCACTGGAGAAAGGACAGGTTTCGAAAGGGGGAATCAAGAATTTGTTTTTGAATATGTTAACTTTGAATACTCTGTTTAGATAGCCAAGATAAAGAGGTAGAGTGTCTCATTGGCTATCTGGGAGTCATTACTGTATAGATCAGCGGTTCTCAACTTGTGGATCGCGACCCCTTTGGGGGTCGAACGACTCTTTCACAGGGGTCGCCTAAGACCATCGGAAAACACAAATATAATTACATATTGTTTTTGTGATTAATTACTATGCTTTAATTATGTTCAATTTGTAACAATGAAAATACATCCTGCATATCAGATATTTACATTACGATTCATAACAGTAGCAAAATTATAGTTATGAAGTAGCAACAAAAATAATTTTATGGTTGGGGGTCACCACAACATAAGGAACTGTATTAAAGGGTCGCAGCATTAGGAAGGTTGAGAACCACTGGTATAGATAGTAGTAAAAATCTGAAAATAGATGGTATCACTGTAAGAATAAGTATAGACAGATTTTTTTAAAAAGAAGGCTACCCAGAACTGAGAAAGAACCAAAAGAAGGAAATGAGGAGTAACTAGTGCAGAAGAGAACTAAAAGCAAATGGTGTCTTGGCGACTACGAATAGGAGGACTTCAGGCAGTGTGCATCCACAGTAACGACAACAATCTATTGTTTAATGTGAATGGAGGTTTACAGATGTCCATATTATTATGCTTCATTAGATAACTTCGTATATACTCTTTCGTATTTTTCAATTTCAGAACTAAAAAATACTTAAGTCTTTCAGGTAGAAGTTCAGCTATGTCAATTAATACAGAATACTGATCCATTGATTTGGGCAATTTGAGATCACTAATGATTGAACAAGAGCTGTTTCAGTGGAGTAGAGGCAACAAATATTCAGCTGGAGGGGGTTTAAGAGAAAATAGAAACCTCTGTTAAAGAAACCTTACTAAAACTATACTAAAGGGCAACCCCCCCAAAACCACAAATCCACAAGGGTAAAGAAAACAGGAAATGAATCAATGCAAAAGATGGAAGCCAGGTATCTCCAGTAGGGAGAGCTGAGAAGAGACCCAACTTACAAGAAATCCCCTAAAAGCTCATGCTGTTTATTCGTGTTGTTTTGAGGCTCCAGGAGTTTATGGAGAAGTAAGGTTCTGTCTAGAAATGGAGGGAATGATTGAGAATCTACGACGCCCATATCCTTCTCCTCTATTCTGGACTTATGGGGCCCAGGCACAGCTGTGGGCTGAGAAAATGGCACTGAAAACTGGGTGGCTAAGTGAAAGTTTACATAATGAATGCTGAAGTCCCCGGCCTTCTTCCTCAATTCCTACAACCAGGCAAGTAGTCGTACACCCTACAACACGAGAGCAGAAAAGTCTCTTCTGGGGAACGACTAGCCAAGAGAAACCTATGATACTACCGGCAAGGGTGTCTCAAAGAACTGGACTAGTCAACGGGTGAAGTACAATGAACAAACTTCACCCTGCCCAGAAAAACGTTTCACAGCTCACGCTCAAATTTGAGCAGACATCCAAAGATCATCAGATTTTGAGCAAAGTGTCTAATTTTCAAGACAGAAAAGCAGCACACAGATAATGAGATAGACCAGTGATTCCCAAAGTGGGCGCTACCGCCCCCTGCTGGGCGCTGCAGCGATCCAGGGGGGCGGTGATGGCCACAGGTGCATTTGTTTTAACTTTTTTTGTATTACCTTTCTATTCTGAGTTCAATAAATAGTTTCATAATTTCAAACTTCAATGTTTCTAATTTACACCTTTCTTTACTATATTTTACAAAAAAGGTAGAAACATTAATACATATATCTTTCTGTTTAATTGCTATTAAAATTAAAAAAAATTAATTTCCAGGGGGCGCTGAGTAATATTTTTTCTGGAAAGGGGGCGGTAGGCCAAATAAGTTTGGGAGCCACTGAGATAGACTATACGCAGGCCGAAGGAAATGGCAGGAAAGCCTATTAGTAACTCCTCAGAGGTACAAATGAAGATATTGGGGTGGCTAGGCAGCACGGAGGGACCACCTGCAGTGAGAGACGATGAATTCAAAGTGACACCGGTCATATAGCCGTGTTCTTCTCCTGTCACATTCAGCTGTCCAGGTGGAGGCATGAAATGGGCAACAAGGGGGGTTTAAAGGAGGTTTGGGGTCTGCCACACAATAGAAAAAGTACAGACAATACATCCCTATGACAGTGTAATTTTCTCAAGTGCAACGAGAGACCTACAACCTTTTAAAAAATGTTTTCTCACAAATCATGAACACATAAGATTCTTGATTATGTTAACCCAACTGGGGGGGGGGGGGGAGCAGTATCATACCTTGTTGGCAGCCACCAAGACTTTATCAAGAAATCGCAACCATTCAAAGATAAAAACTGGCCTCTTTGCTTCCGTGATTTGAGCCAAAGCTTCCTCATTTAGCAACAAACTGTGGGCTAACTCCATGACTGACGTTTTAAATTCACACCTTAAAGTAACAAATTAAAAAAACAACAACTTGTTAAAAGCCCAGCTTTGTGATTGTAACCACTAAGAAATGAAAAGTCAGGCTTTCCCTCTCGTTTCTTTTGAAAGAAACTTACATAACTTCTTTGTGGCAAAACCTGAGAACTAAAATTTAAAGGACAAGGGTACCAAAAAAAATCAAAGAAAGTAATCATTAGTGGGGGGGGGGGGGAGGATCGGGTAAAATAACTGAAATAGTTGCAAATGAGGCATTTTCCCAGAAAAAAAAAATGCCTACAAAAAACACAGGTCATTAACCCATTCCATGAACCGGAAAACGGAAAAGCACCGAGACCAAACCACTGCCGGGCCCGCCAGCCTGGCCTTTTCTGGTCCACGCTGGCTGCACCGCACCCTCCCCTCCCGGCCTCACCGGGCCCAGCAGCCTATCCAATCGCCCCAACAAGAAGGCCCCGCACTGGACGTCTTCCTACAGGAACGGCGCGGGCGGCCAGCCTCCGAG